GGTGGCCCTGGGCAACCTGGGCTGGTGGGAGGTGTCCCTGTCTATGGCAGGGGGGTTGGAACTCGATGATCTTCAAGGTCCTTTCCAACCTAAACCATATGATTCTATGATTCTCTGAACTCACTACCTGGGTGCAGAGCGAGAGCTTTTGAGGTACCTGTGATAGTGAAAGCGTACGAGAATCTTACGAAGTGCAGTAATAGGAGGGAAAATCCATTAATATAGCAAGTGCGGTGCAGATACGTGCCTGGATGCGCGTTACCCATCCTCGCCGGCTCCAGCCCGGCGTGAGCCTGCCCCTCTGCACCCAGTCCTGCTCTGCCGCTCATCGCTCGCTCCCCCACCTCCCGCTTTTCAGTCACAGTTCAGCTGTTTTCAAGGTTTCAAATCGCTCTTGAGAGAGCGCTCGAGACGGCAGAAAGCCAGGTCTTGGCACAGCAGCACGGTGACCACCTGCTTTTTTGGCTCTAATGGTTTTTCTGTAATGTCCACCAGCGTTCAAAGTGCTTTGGCAGCTCTGCCGTGTATTACATTAGCGATTCCACCAAATGCCTGCAGGTGCAGAGTCTGCTGGGGAAAAAGGGAACGTTTTGGCCAGAGAGCGTTGGACTTTACATCTCATCGCACTGATCAGGCTGTCACTGTGTTCAAAGCCATGCTATTTTTGCTGAACACAGTTTGGGGATTTTTAATACCGAGGCAGCACAATGGACTGGGAGCACAAAACAAGTTGAAAGAGGGACTGGACAAAGCCACGGAGGATGCACTTTTTGTGGGGCATTGTGTGCACAGAAACATCTGAACTGAAGACAGCAGCTGCCTGGGTGGGTATTCAGGAGAAATATCGTATCCTTGTCCTGTTTTCACTCCCCCCTGGGCATCTGCTTAAGAGCAATGCTTAAGAGAGGATCCCGCACTAGATGGAGCCGTGGTTTGAGTCAGTACATTGTCACACTCTTAACAGCATGAAGATCCCCCCCAAAGTCATGCCTTTATGCTTATTTCTGCTTCTCACCTGGGGATGGCCAGGAGCTGAAACAAGGAAATTTATGCAGCACCGAGCTGTTACCATGCCCAGACTGTCACAGAACACGGTCGAGCACCATCAGAGCTTGTCTCAGGGATGTGCTGACCATCCTGTAGATGGGCACGACGGTGTCAAGTACAGAGCTATTTCAGGAGATAAACCCGGGAAGCTGGTTCATCTCGCTCGCATTGCCTGACCTGCCAAGAGCAGACTGGCCAAGTGGCTGCCGGGCTGGAGAAGACAGTGCCGACCAACAGCCGCTGCTGTTGCAAAGTCTCGGCCGTCGCCTGTGAACAGCTGTAGGTGTGGGAGCCCCTGTTCTACCCTCTGGGGCTTCCACAACCCCCAGCAGCCCACAGTCCCTCCTGTGAAGGCCCCTGAATGTGCTAAAAGCGAAGTATTTCAAGTGAAGGAAGGGTGAAGGGGACAGTTAGATAATCTAAAGGTATTCACGGTGTGGGTATTAGTTTTTGTTTTATCTTACATAGCTGCTTCCACAATTATTCATTTTATTCTCTCTATTCCCCACTTGGTGTTTTTCTCTGCTGTAAGCATCTCTCCTCCGTTTTTTTTTTTTTAAATGAGGAGGGGAGCACTATGGAGAACTCATCTCAAAAGGACCCAGACAGGCTGGAGGACTGGGCCAGGAGGAACTCCACGAATTTCAACAAGGACAAAGACCCGCACCTGGGAAGGAAGAACCCCTTGCAACTGGAGAGACTGGGAAGCAACTCTGTGGAGAAGAACTTGGAAGGCTTGGTGTCCAGCGAGGTGCTCAAGGGCTGGCCCCGTGCCTTGGCAGCAAAGGCCAACGGCATCCCCGGCTGCGTGAAGAGGCGCCAAGGACACAGACAGAGCAACGAGGTTATCCCTCTCACTTCTGCTCATGAGACCACACCTACAATACTGCATCCAGTTTTGGGGCCCCCAATACAAGAAATACACCAATAAACCAAAGGGACTTCAGTGGAGAGCCACCAGGATGGTCAGGGCTGGAGCTCTCGCTCTGTCTGGAGGGGCTGAGGGAGCCGTGCTTGTTCCACCTGCAGAAGGAACGGCCTTGGGGGGACCTGACAGCCTTCTGCGACCGACGGGGAGGTTAGCGAGGAAATAAAGCCAGGCTTTTCACACTGGTATGCAGTGGGAGGACAAGAGGCCATGGTGGGGGGACAAAATGTGCAAAACTGAAATGAGAGGTTCTGACTGGACAAAAGGAGAAATTTTATGATGAAGACAGTCAAGCAGCGGAGCAGGCTGCCCAGAAAGGGTGTGCAGTCTCCATCCTTGGAGGTTTTCAAGACCAGACTGGATAAAACCCTGAGCAACGTGATCGGATCTCATAGCTGACCCTGCTTTGAGCCGGAGGTCGGACTAGAGACCTCCTCCTTCCAACCTGAATTATCCTTTGATCCCGTGACAGAAGAAGAGTGGCCTCACTCCAGTTCCAGGTCCCAAGCTGACTGCCTCTACAACCCCGCTCCTTGGGATAGTAGGAATGATGTCTGTTCCCTGTGAAAACGAACATCTCCCATTGCTCCTCAGCAAGAACATCAACACTCGGGAGAGATCACGGATGGGAGAGGTGGGAGGAAAGCAAATTCGTGGCAGGCGCTTTCTTCACTACCTGCAACTCACCGTTCTGACATCGCTCCTCTGCTCACTCTATCTGCGTGCTTGCCACCCAAGTCCCGCATAAACAACTCCATCCATTTACTCATCTGCCTCTCCTCCTCCCCGCGCAGCTTGCTCACTCCCCGTACGCTGCTGACGAGGCTGCCTCCATACTCCCTTCTCCAGCTCTCCTCCACTCTGCGGACCAAAGGCAGAAGTCTGCTGCCTGGCAGCGGCCAATGCCATTGCCTGAGGAAGCAGAGAAGAACACAGCAAGCATGCAGCGCTGCTTCGCCCCTCCCAAATACTCTGCCAGCTTCCAGCAATTTGCTGATCAAGAGCTGGCTGAGTCAGACCGCCTTTGTGTTTAACCCTTGGCGGACCTTCTTCTTCCCGACCCTCGTCATTGCTCTTTGAACAGATGCAAATTCCTCGCCCTCCCAATATCCTGCAGCAGTGAGCTCTGCCGCTCACCAGCACCCTGTGCGGAATTACCTCCTTTTCTTTCTTTTGAAACTCCAGCTATCAGTCTAATTTGATGCCCATCTGGTCTGTAAAGACCTTTTACACGGCTTTCTTTGAATTGTGTTGCTGTGTTACTATGTTCTTATTCCAGTCTTTCACTACCCATTCCTACTGTGATGACAGCAAATTTTGTAAAATACAGCCTTCATCATAGAAACTCCTCGCTGATGTTTAAACGTGATCGCATGGGCAAAATGAAACCTCTCCCTTAAGATGCAGAAGCATCTGTTTATAGTTAAGCATGAGACTAATCATTGCTGAGTTTTATTTACTGTCTACGCAGGATATGGTTCTGCTGAGGGAGTGTCTGACGTTGAACAAAGGCAACCAGCAATCCCTTGGGAGCAGGCTTGAAACCTGATGTCTTGATTAAGTATTGGATTCATGAATTGCGTTCGACCCTCGCAGGGCAGGCTGGAGCCTGCCCAGACCCCTGCAGAGGCAACGAGCCACGCAGGAATCCCCTGGTGAAAGCAGCGCCGAGGACAAGGGTCCTCATCAAAGGTGAGGGACCAACGTGACTGGTGAAGCCATCCTGGCTGTTTTTAACTTAAAATGGAGAGAGAAGCTATTTGAGTTGATCTGAAATGCTGGTAGCTGAAAGCGTGGCTCTCTTTTATCCAACTCCACTCCTACTGACTGAAATGTTAACAGTTAATTACTTCTCGTAAGTATGTTCACTTTTCACTTTTACCCTAACACTTGCCTGTGCCCAAATGCTGCATCGGGCAATGGGCAGAGCTCGGCCCAGGGGACAGGCAGCCTGCAGGAGAAGGAGCCTGACCAACTCCTGCAGCGTTTGGAGCGCTGCTACACAACCCAGAGGTACCCCAGAAACAGCAGAGCGGCTCTCCACCAACGCGCGCA